GCAACAGTCAGAGTTGTTTCCCCTGAACGTGCGTTCTCTTGGATCGGCTCTCGCGACTGCAACGAACTGGGCGTCCAATTTCATTGTCGGACTTACCTTCTTGCCCATGATGGATTGGCTTTCTCCAGGTTGGACATTTACAGCCTATGCGGGCGTTTGTGTGGTTGGATGGTTTGGCGTCTGGGCCATTTACCCCGAAATGAGCGGTCTTAGCCTGGAGGAGGTCAAAGGCCTTCTCGCCAACGGTTGGGGTGTCAGAGAAAGTTTGACAAGAAATCGCGGTACAGTGCAAGTTGGTTAAACTGAACTTGGATCTAGGTAGGCATCCATGTAGGTCTTGCTGACTTCTAATCCAATTTAGAATGACGTGCTCAATCAGAGTTTGTGAAAGCCTTTGGCGAAAGTATCTGCCCGTAACTTCTGAAGAAGGGTAGCGATCTGACTTAGCATGACCGAATTACCCATCTTGTATCTCTCGGGTCACTCTTACACTTTTGACGCTAGGAGCCGTAGTTGCCATCATCACTTCTTTGGCCGCATCATCGGCCCAATCTGCCGATCTCTGGAATATTGATTTCCGCCGGTTATTGCCACTGCATGTTTCGAATAGCGCGACGTCTGTATCTCGCGCTCGACTCCTTGCGGCTCCAATGTAGGTATGCGTACCATGTAGGCAGTCATCACTGTTGCGAGTTTGATTGAGGAATCCAGAACTCAATACTTCTTCTTCTTGGGAAGATAAAAGGAAGTGGTTCTCGATTTGCGCAGTCCAAATCGGGGTGCAATGCGCAATTGTCGAATGAGACGGAGAGGCGCAAAGCGAAATATCTGCTTACACCAACGATGTACGGGCTCAGAGACAGACGATGAGAGAGGGTACACCGAAGCAGAGGAGTCACCTTCGATTTCCCCGGAGTGCAAGACGTTAAGTAAACATGACAGCTTGAAAGATGCAGTCAGACGACCGGCCTGAGACGAAGCCGACTCGCAGTTGTTCACCAAGTCGTCCAGTGACCTCATCTTCGTCCCTTTAAATCACCAACGACCAGTCACAAAGACCTCACTCTCCAGTTGGTCAACTCTTGGATACTCAATACGACGAAGCGCCCCTTCAACATCCTCGTTAACCCAAGGAAGCTGCGTCTCTTATTAACACAACTTTGCATGACACCCGTATCACACACGCTTCTTTACAAGCAACCATGTCCAGAATGCGCGGCAGTCATGAGTTAGCTAACTACAGTGACACTCAAGGCCACCGTCGAGAAATAAGCCGGCGAAAGACAGACCCACGAGCTCGGAGTCGTCAAAACGCAAGCCCCCTGCTGCAGCTTCCAACAGAGGTACTTGCCCTGAGTTAATGTCCATATGGACTAGTGTCTAACGACCTTAACATAGATAATTCAGTATATTGCATATCTTCTCCCGAGCGATGTCGATATAGTCAATCTGGTGTCGTGCTGTGTTCACCTAGCTAGGGCGATCTTACCGGCTCACTCGTCCATCTGGCGCCAGCGATTCAAGGACCTTTACGGTATCCCTCAGAGACGTTCTTCAAGTGAGCTCAAACTGGAGTATCAGATTCGTTCTATTGTGCTGTCTCAGAAGATCAACTTCCGATACGGCCAGAAGAAGGAGCAAACGTTATGGCTGGAAGTGCTGAGAGACATGCTTCTGGAAGCACTTGAATCAGCCCCGACAGATGAACACACTGCTTCCAAGCTCCTCGAGCAGATTTGTAAGACACTCCACAACTCGGAATTCCTGAACCGACCTGTGAGCGGATATGGCGACACGAATGCCGATGCGCCTTCTGAGTTGTTTTACGCTGTTCAGCTAGTAAGCCCTTCACCCGCTATATCGGTCTCGAAATTGGATACGGTCTCATCAAACATTCTAGTGCCTCACCCACCTGGTGTTGGACCCGTCTATGGCCTTCTATTGCCTCAGGAATGACTATGATATTGGCGCCGTGTATTCATTCCAAGTCGATATCAGTGAGCCGCTTGTGGATGTAGAGAAGCTGGACCTGGAGAAAATTTTGCACATTCGCAACTTCTGGCTTCGTCATCTCCTCAATCCGAACGAAGCGACATTCTGCTCCTCCTATATATCGCTGCGTCAGCGACCGAAAGCCACGCGATCTCTGGGCGACAGCAAAGCTTGCGTTAGTACCCATTGGTTGGGGTATTATTGTCAGTTACTGAGGTCTCCCTATTCTGCTGAGCGCCCTACAGGAAGATGCTAACCTGAAGTGACGAACCTCTTTTACAGCGTGCATCCATCCGTATCCAGATTCGCTGAGTCGTCTGGAACACCGTCAGACATGCGCCGATCTGGAGACACATTGGCCGCAGGTGGACCCTATGGTAAAATCTGCCTACATGTCAGTCATCTTAGCAGGTAGCTGACGTTGGGTTCGCGTTTAGTCTTTGCGCATCAAGCTAGATCCTGACCCGTTGAACTGGCCGACCTTATTCGACAGCATCATCCCTATCCTGGGGTCGAGAACGCATTGCTCGTACTTTCGCGGCATTGAAACACAGCACGGATCTGATGACGATTCAACATACCTGGTGCGGGGCTTTACAGAACCCATCCCGACCGCTCACGGTGGCTTCCCCCATTGGCGCCGTATATGCTTTGCCATCTACGATGCGGACAGGGAACAACTTCCGCTTATACCAAACGATGATGCGACATCTGGAAAGGGAAAGGAGGATTTATGGCTTCCGGAGGAAGCGTGGCCGCCATATGATATGGAGGTGGAATTCAATTGGATCCATGGATACGAGGGAGTCATTCTCCCCAGTGGAACGATCATGATGGGACGATGGATTGATATGGTAGAACCGACTGCGCGAGGTCCTTTCATTTTCTGGAATGTGTGACGACCCATTTTGCGTTGAGACACATCGCAAGTTTCGGCGGTGGATACTTCTTGCTGCTCCATGATGTAGTCTTTCTCATGATTCGCTGTTCTAAGTGTTTTCTCTCGTCGGGATGAAATGCGATGGAATACAGGATGGAGACATCTTAATGGACCAGACCTCTTTCACCATTTAATAAGATGGGAATATGATAACAGGCAAATGAAAATCAATCGAAGAAGTGATCAAATCTACTCCTCAATGTCCTTTACCTTCTCCCATTGTCCCTTCAAATTCTCTTTCCACAAGCTGACCTTGTTGTCTCCTCCACTTACAGCAAGGATGTTTCCACTAGGGCTCCAGCTAACCCGCCACAGGACAGTGTCGAATTCCAGCTGCTGACTGGTCCATTGGCCGGGATTCGATGCATCAGAGGTCCAGATCCGCACAGTCTTATCCTGAGACGCAGAAGCGATATAGGACTTGGACAGAATGCTGGGTGACCAGGCGACGTCACGGACCCAGTCCGAATGACCTTCCAATGTCTGGCTGAGGTTGTAGGTCTTGCTTTCCGGGCTATAAGTATAGTCATTAGTACAGTCGTCGGGTTCAAATTCAGGAAGACTCCAAAACGTACTTGTAATCCCATATCTTCAGCAGATTGTCACTGCCACCGGTAACGAATCTCCGCTGCTGACCTGGACCAGGATTCGAGCTGATCAAGCTACCGGGAGACGCTGCTGGGGCCCAGCTGATCGAGTTCACGCCCATTCCATGAGCGTGGAAGATCTGATGAGTCCAGCTGTTGTCGCGGAACTCGAGGACACTCACATGCCCGTCCGAAGAAGCGCAAGCAAGGAGACATCCGCTCTCGTGTGGAGCCCAGGAAACCATATTCACCGAGGCAGTGTGGAGGGAGAAATCGAAAACTTTTGTCCAGGTGCTGCCTGCAACGGGGGATGTCGTGTTTTGGTGTTGTTCACGCCAGATAAGCACTTTTCCGTCGTACGAAGAGGAGGCCAGAATCGTGCCAAACTTGGGGTGAGCCTGAGACGAAGAGTAGACAACATATTAGCCATGCAAACGAAACGGAGACTCTGCATGACAAGGACTCTTAAACCTACCCATGCCACACACCACACCGCGCCTTCGTGTCTTTTGATTCCGAAGATGCCCATGTTAGCAAATTAGAGAGTTGAGCCAGTAGAGCTGAGGTGATTCACCCTTTCAGCGTTTCAACCAAGCGATGTGTCTCCCCCTCGATCTCGAAAATCTTTATTGTCTTATCCGACGAACATGTTGCTAATCTGCGGCCATAGTAGTCCAATCCGGCGTCGTGCTGCAAGAAAGAGCCGGTCGAGTTAGTCGCGCGGGTCGTGATGTAATATCATGAGGGTGACAGGGCGCATTATCACGTACAATCATATCATCATGACCAGAGTTCGAAATAACCTGAGCAGCTGCCTTGGAAGATGTCAACGAGAGAACAATGCGAAGCTTAAAGGGGGGAAGAGTTGCCCGAAATAAACATACCATGATGACCAATGGGACTGCCCGAAGCGAGTATTACTGCAGCAGACGGATAAAATAAAATAAAAAAATAGCTTGAGAGATATATATCTCACTGTATTGATGTTCTAGACGAGTCCGGGTAGGGGTGAAGATAGCGGCGGAGGAGGATCGAAATCAACATGCAAACAGGTCCTCCGTAATCCGTACTCCGAATACCGCCAGCTTGTCCGCTTCACTGTTGAGACTTGAGCCAGCTGCCCAAGCTGTGATCTTATCTTATCAGCTGAGGTTGACTCAGCGCTCTCCGGTCAGTGGTCACGCCTAAAAGCACGTGAGACGGGCCTCGGCTTTGACCCTCGCCCAACCTACCCCACGGGTGTTGCTCTACCCCGTCTTAATCTTGCCTCTTCATGCCTTTTACATGAGTATAATTCCCCAGTCACTCTAGAAAAGTACTTTCCTACTTTTCGAATAGACATATCTTTGGACATATTCTCGTTCCGCACCTTATTGCACTTGAGGCGTAGCGCATAGTCCGTTCTACGATCTATCACCCGTTTCATCCGCTTTCCAAGGACTTGTTCTCGCCCAGCTACCGTGCTGCAAGTCACTGACAGTATGAGTGACGCTTTGTGCGGCCCGTCAAATGCCTTGCAAAACTTCCAGAAACATGCATCTGTTGATCGGACTCTCCAACAGGATCGGCTGATCTCCCGCCGGTCGCCCTCTCAGGTAAGCAAGGTTGCGACTCACCCGGAACGCTTTTTGATTTGGATTGGACCGGTCGGCTGAACATTCTTCTTTGACAGGGCTTCAGATCCCAGAATTCGAGCGACGGTGTCCTAGACCCCGAGTTTGCTGCCTTTGAGTCCGATCTGGCCGGACCGTCACTTCCCAATCTACAACATGCAGGACCTTTCTCAGCAAATCCCCACCAGCTTCCGGTGGCTAGCCATGCCGAGAATGTGACCTGGGCGGCCGACTTCCAGAGACTACATATTTCAGGGCCTTCCCATCCTATTCAGCAGCATCATGGTCCATCTGCAACCCCGGCTTCGGCGATGTCACAACAAGGTTGGCACAGTGAATTTCTGAAACAACAGCAGCAACGCCCAGCACGTACACAGCAACATCAGCAGTATACTGGAGGCTTCCAACCGTCTTTCTCACACCACCATCCCATACATGGAGGGGTAATGAACGCCTTGCCCTCTGTACATGGGCCGGCAACCGACCAGCAACACGCCACAGAGACATTTGATGAATCGGCTTTCGAAGCTGCATTCGAACAAGCAAGAGCGGACATGGCCTTACAGGAGACGAACACAACGGAGGAGAAGACCGAGCCTGCAAGCGAGACGATCCAGCCCGATTTAAGCACAGCTCAAGAGCCCACCGAGCAAATCAAGATCGGGTCAGATACTATACCACAAATCGACAAGAACGACCCGTTAAGCCGGGTCAACGATGCGGATGAACTTGCTAGGACTGCAGGACAGTTACTTGACAGCGTCAGCCACGATCAGAGCGAAAAGTTCAGACAGAGTAATTTCCTGGCGCTGATGCGTCGCATCCGGGATCGCGAAGTCCGGATCGAGGATGACGAGTTTCGTGAAGTCAGTACCAGTCCGTGATCTCTCATATTTCGGCTGGCGTGGCACGAACGCTGGTAAAAATTGTTTCCATTCATAACGGCTCTTGTTCCTGCTAATTCATGACCAGACGGCGCAGTCACTACATCCCGGCGGTAAATATTATCCCGGTGGCCAGCAACAAACGCAGCGGCAACAGACATCAATTCCACCACATCAGGATGGGCCCGACAGCGTTACATTCAGCGATATCAGTAAGTCCGACACATTGGAGGGGCCCAGTATACCGCGTACGGGATGACAGTGCACCAATCCAAGGCCTGACGCGATGCAATGTGCCAAACAGATCGTCCGCAAGTGAGCCCTTCTACGCCGGATACCGTCGAATCCATAGCGACTTCGAAAGCAGCGCCCAGGGATATACCCAGTGCGTCGTCAACTGGGGCAGGGTTGGGAGACGATAACTCTCTCTATGCGAGTTGGAATTATGGCGGGATTTGAGCCTAACTGGTTATTGGACATTATACCCAATCAGCTTTTGGCCGTCCCTTTTGAATAATGCAATATGTGAGACTAAGGAGCGTTCGAGGTGTATTGAGCTCAATTCAGTCTTGGACATGGCAGTGGGTGTACTCCTTTTTGGTAGCAATCATTGCATCCGCCATCATTTGTTTCTTTCTTCATAGACTCTTGATGGAGGCCAATGATGAATGTTTCATTACCTACCTTTGTGTGCATCTACCCGACTTCCAGCCTCCATCATTGACTGGGACTGCATCAATAAAATAGTAATCTTCTGCTATTTCTTATCCCTTTACAACAATTTTACTGGGCTGATGTTCAGGGGGGTTGACAAATAGCTGGACTGCACGTGATCCTCTTGCGCCTATTGATGGGAAAGAACAATACCAACTCAATAAGGAGGCTGGGGGCATTGTTACCAACCGCATTTTATTTGTTAGCGAATAAACACAAGTGCCAGCAATTATTGATGCACCGCTGCTCTTCGCCCAACTGTTGGGAAAAGCGGGCTGTCGTCATTTGGTCTGCATCAATAACGTCTTGCATGCTATTGTTCCTACTGACCTGGAGCTACGTGCCGCTAATGTCTATCATGGGATATATAACCAGCAAGCTCTCATCTTGCTTTGAGAGATAGCTTCCTCTAACAATCTATCTTCAAGTTTGATTTCTGTGGTACCAACCTAAACGCGGCTCTTCAAACCACAGCATCATATCTAAGGTCCACTCCAAAGTCCTGCCTGCGCATTGCCTCAGCTGCCGCTATACTTTTTGAAAATTACTTTGCTTGTACAGAAACATGCTGCCACCGTCGGATTCTTTCTTGCATCACTCCCACAAGCTTCGAGAAGTGGCCGCTAATGCGCGCAACCGTGTGGTCTGCATACCACCACCTCCGTACTCTTCAACAGTCCCACGAGGTTCAACCCATGAGGAGAGACAGAATGCCCTGGAGACCATCGACGATGACACGGCCTGGGAAACCTGCGCCGGTACCAGCTCCACTCCTATTACGATTAGCATTGACGCCTCCATTAGTGTGGTGGGCAACGGCAACACCATCATGATCCCGTCTATGGCAGGCCATCCTCAGCAAACTTCGAGAGTTTCTAGTTCAATGAATCCCGAGAGTTCATCTTTCTCTACGTCCACTGCACCAGCAGCTTCTGAGGCGGACGCTCTGCACTCAGTTCAGAAGCAACGCCAGGCTAGACTGACCGAAATGGCAACCTCCATCATCAATGCCTTGTACGATTCGGGCCGGCTAGCACCCCCGGCAGAAGACCACGAACCTGCACCGCTTGAAATCAAGATCAACACAGGAATCAAGGTTGAGGGGAGCCGCAACGTCATTTGCGTTGGTGCTACAGTCCGGGCCCAGAGCGCCCCGATGGGCACGGACAAAGATCGACAAGTCATTTCAAACCGAAAGAGACGAGCTCTATCAGTATGTCATTTGCACCTTCGCCGCTTATCAAGTTGCCGGATCGTGAATTCTTTGGCTAACAATCTGATATAGGAGCCTTTCGAAGCACCGAATTCCAAGAAGAATTGTGTGCAATAATCGCGGAGAGGCATTTCAATCCTGGCATCCCACGGACACTCATGTTCTCCAAATGCGATGTCTTGATACTTCTGATTGTCGAAATGCATCAAGGCGTTTGTGTTTGAAAGTTCTCGCATATGCATCGATAGAGAATAGCACTCCTTTGCTATCTACTGAAGATGTCCTGCGCCTCTGCAAACTGTACCGTCAGCGAGATGTACCACTACTAATTGAAACATCTATTCTATGGTGTGACGATTGATCAAGTTCTAGTTCAAAGCATTCCTTTTATAATGTTCTATGCCGAAACTGGCCAAAAGGCCCGAAAGTCACCCATGGCGAGACCGGTAACTGAGCTTTGAAAGAATGATGCGCTCCCCAGAATATTACAGAAACAGTCTAAAGTTGACCTGCTTCAAAAGATCAAGGAAAAGTAAGTCAGCCGACTCCTGGAGAGCCCCAAGTAGAAGGTGAACAAGGTGCCGGTATTGAAAACCGATCAGGTGAAATGGTTCTCTTGCAGAATACAGCTATAGAAGTAAATGGTTTTCAGACAAATCCGACCAAATGATGCTCGATTCCACGAGAAAAGGCAACCTTTCAGACAACGGGCCGGCAGCTAATGCTGGTAAGGGTAATTAAGCTGGAAATTGTAAAGTCAAAATAATATGCGCCGGAGTCCTGCCTCTTTAAAGGTTCATGAGAGATATCGTGCCAAACTCAGGAAAGGGAATGAGAATAGAGAAAAGAAGAAGAAATACATGACTTATGTCCCCAAGATCATGTAGAATAGCCGTGGGAAGAATAAGGACAGCTTCATGATGCTAGCCATGGATAAATTCCCCAGAGATAGCGATTGTTGGGTTTGATGACTCGATTGGCCTGGTTGGTTTTTGAGGGAAAATTTACGCCGCAGCGATGGTCATTCCGGGGAGTAGGTATAGCTGGCGACTAGCTCTGGTGACTACCGACCAACTGGTACATCGTGGCGATGCAAATCTCTTGACCATTCCGGGGTGACCTTGTCACGTTCGTACAATAGGCCGCAATTGTGGCAAAGAGTCTAGACATAACAAGTTAGTGCACGACTCGAATCTCATTGGGGTAGGAGGATTCTCACCCTTGGACCAGCAGGACCATCTCGTACTGCCCAGACCGCAGAACCCCATACCATACAGTTGTTGCATCTCCAACTCTGACGTTCCCTGAAAGAGAAACAAGCAGGTTAGCACGAGTCAATGATCACATGATTCACAATCGACAAGCATACCAATCCGATAATGTACCTCCACCTCCGCCATATCCAGCCCCCGAACCGGTATCCGGTGTGCCTCGTCCACCAGGAGTGCCTCCTCTTCCCGATGGGCTTAAGCTGCGGAAGCGCCTCTTTCGTTTGCTCCGTTCGCCTCTACCCAGCGGGGTCTCACTATCGACGTCGAAATAACCGCTGCCCTGCCGCGACATATCCGGTGTGATGCCGGCGGTGGAAGAGAACCGAGCTGTTTCTCGCCGTAGACGTCTGATCTGGCGTTCGCGGTCTCCTTCTCGCTTCTCAATCTCTTCCTTCGAAAGAGTCTCTACCTTGGGTTCCCATTCATCGCCTAGTCCTTCGGGATCATACCGCCAACCAGCCTCGGTGCCATTGGCAGCTTGGTTATCGATCTCATTTCCGTACCCACCCATGCCACTGATCATTCCTCCGCTCTCACACACTTCCTTCTTCAATTTCAAGACAGCTTCGTAGATACCATGCGCAATGGCTCCAACCCACTCGCCGCCCAGGCCTAGGTCGGCGCATGTGACTTGCGCGAATTCCTCTGCCATGCCGGGAGGGTGTAACAAGGACCACTCAAACTTATCTGTGTACAGCCTGTTCTGCAGATTGATGTTGAGGTTGATTAGGCACCGATATGCATCATCCGGGTTTAGTATACTGTCGTTAACGAGTGCTTCTTTTGTTACCGATACACCAATCGCCCTGTTGTCGGGTGTTGCAGCTTGCGTAGGAACTGGCGTTGCGGACACATCCCGAGGCGGATTTGTCTGCGAAGTGGGAGCGGGCTTCGATTGTGTACTTTGAAATAATGGATGTAGCGCAACACCAGCGTACTCCTCTAACTGCTGGCGTATCTGATTGCTGATTGCCAGAGTCATCGCTTGGGGGTTCGGTAGGTCCAAGTCTCGCACGAAGCCCATCGCAAATTCTTCAGGAGTCGCCAGAGCTTCATGAAGGTTCCACAGAAATGTATCTTTGATGCGGAAGGCGGGCAGCGGATCTGGTCTTCGGTATCCGGGAAGGGTAGGGTTGATACCGGGATCCACCACACCTCGCGGCATGGGAAATGGCTCGAGAGGCTGATGCGCTGGGACCTCCAAGTCGATACGAATCGGGATGAGGGTCAGGGGGAGCTGCGCTTGAATTTGTAGCTGGTCGGCACAACTGTTGTAGCAGGAAAAGTTAGGTCAGCTCGGTCATGAATGCCTTCCAGCGGGCAAGCAAGCCCGGAGAAACGAGTCAAACAATACATACGCTGGTCGCAACATCCTCTTAATCATCCAGTCGCGGAAGACTCCCTGGACCTCCACAGGGGCATGGATTTCTTTTCCCAACTTCTCCGCCAAGGGGGTCTTGTCTGTTGCCGACTCTTCGCGCCGTAGACTTCTTAGACCAGTGGGCCTTCTGGGGCCTTCACTGTCATCAAAGTCATCATCGTCGAAGCCATCCTCTGCATAGTTCACCGCAGTAGTGCCTCGTTTCGTCGTTCGCGGCGTCGGACCAACTTGAGTCTGCGGAATGACCGGCGTGAGCAATGCGTTCCCGTACTGGCGTATTCGCGGAGGATAGGACGTGATATAGCCTCTGAGGGGGGACATGTTGGCCGTTTAGGAGGACAAAACCATGTCCCTCGCGAAGCGTGCAAGAAGAGGTTGCTGAAAATGCGAATCAACAATGGCCTGGAATTCAACTGAGCGAGGAATTGAATTTGATTGAGACAGAGTTTTGCGAATGTGATCAATGCAGTCGCTTCAAGGGTCCGATGTCTCTTACTGGATTTGCGATGTCCTGCAACTTTGGTCTGTCGAGTTCGATACCAAACAACCTGATCTCCAGAGAGGTGATGCTACAGCTCCTTCTGTATGGTGATCGCGGTCAATGCTCCGCCTTTTTTGCCTTGTCGCGTTTCTGATCTACGCTAGACCAAATCTAGCAGTATAGTCACGTGTGTCACATAATGGAGAGTTCTAATGACCATTATGGACCAAAAAGTGCCGATGAGATCAGTACAAGAGACTTCTATCACTATTTTCTGATCATGGGGAGATCTGAGCTTGAAAATTGCTAAAGCTGGAACATTACACCAAAAACTAAAAAGGCAAAGCCAGCGCTCTTTCAACACCTCTGACAAATTAACGACTATTCATGATGTTGATGGAAAGAGCTTATGTGAATTATATGTATGACATGGGAACAAGGAGGAAAGCAAAGAAGTAATGCATGGAGTCCCGCCAGCTAGTGAAGACAATGAGCAGAATACACAAGCACCCAATAAATTGAATACGCCATTTCGCTTGTCTGATGCAGACATGGAAATAAGGGGGATATCGTCAACTTGGCAAACGAAAAACTGAACCGACGCGTTAAGGACAAGGGATGATTTTTGTTTTTATCTGTACAGCGTCATGGAGGGGATAAACAGAGGATGCGCTGGCTGCAAACGTGTCGGATCACCGGACGAAGACTATCGGAGTCCAATAACGCTCTGTCGAGGGATTAGAACCATGGCGATATACCAGAGCAAGCTAACTTACCATTTCAAGCGTCCAGACTCTCCGAATCCACACTTTTACTTTGCCTTCGAAGCCCTCGACACTTTCCAGTTCGACACCCTCCCACCAGCATCTCCTGGCTGGTTTTCTCCAGAACAATAAGAGTTTCTGTGCCATGCCGACCGCATTGTTATTGGACAGATCACCTCTGACGTCGGTGCGAAGTTTAGCCAATGCGAGGCTGCAAATGACCGCCTTGTTGGGTTCGGGAGCACGGTGACCCCACCGGTCGTCTCTCTCGAAACCACTGCACTTCGTGAATATAATTGCAGATTTGATAGAGTTTGACGTACTTACCCTGCAGTGAGCATCTCAATAAGATGTTGCTCTGTCGATCCAGGTTCATCGCTCTTCTTCAGGCCGGAAAATATCCCGTCTTGTTTAAGAAGTGCCCTGCCCACGGCACGTTTGACCTCCATCATCTCCGTATGGTCGATGTCAGGACGTGGTGGTATCGCATAGAAATCGAGGTCCTCACGTAGGACGATGATTCCGGCCCGATCTTGTAGTATGTCTCTTGGTGATCCCAGCACCGTTTCAGACATCTCTAATTCCGGAGAAGTCGACGCTGAAGGTGAAGATGACGGGATCGACTGAGCAACTGAACGGAAGAAATCTAACATGTACTGGAGAGATGTGGGATCATACTAAGAGTGCAATTGTGAGCCATTGTCATCCATTTAGACAAAGGGAATGGCGGAAAGACTTGACGTACGTCAACGGGATAGATGTCACCCTCTTGAAATGAGCCCATATGTCCATCAGGCAGAAGACCATTGGGAAACAGTGACAGAAGGACAAATTCAGGCAGGGTCAACAGCTCATCTCTCGAGAGTGTAAACCGAGTACCTCTATGTGACGAATTAGCATTATAAGAGAACAGTTTTTGTATGGCTGTCACAAGGATGTGGCCTCACCGCAATTCAAGAGTGATATGCTCGTCACAGCCGATGTCTAAAGTTTGTAGAACAGACTGTTAGTGATAATCGAATTACAGAAACTGCATCCGTCCATCGCAATTCCATTCTATCAATAGCCAAAATCACAGAGTTGCATACCTCCTAATGTGTTGATAGGCGGCCCTCCTGCCTGTTGCACCTGAGTGATAATACTCGACGGGCCTCCTGCCGCAGCCATCACGTATGTGAATGACTCAATGGGACTTGACCCTTCAGTGTATGGTGGAGGGG